GTTGCCTGTTGAAAAATGTAAGAAACACCTTCAAAATAGCAGGTTGCTATGTGAGTTGCTATGGAAACGGGGTATGTTATCATAATTGCTTATTTTGACTTCCCTGCAAGCTTCCCAAACTGACAGCAATCAAAAATGATCTTCTATTAGGTCTCTCCACATGATAAAAGAAAAAAATCGCGGAACACCCAAAGTGGGAACGAAAATCATGAATTCATGCACTTGGCTCACAGTCTATTACCACTGTTCTAGATGTTACCACTGTTCTAGATATTACCACTGTTCTAGATGTTACCACTGTTCTAGATGTTACCACTGTTCTAGATGTTACCGCTGTTCTAGATGTTACCACTGTTCTAGATGTTACCGCTGTTCTAGATGTTACCGCTGTTCTAGATGTTACCGCTGTTCTAGATGTTACCGCTGTTCTAGATGTTACCGCTGTTCTAGATGTTACCGCTGTTCTAGATGTTACCGCTGTTCTAGATGTTACCGCTGTTCTAGATGTTACCGCTGTTCTAGATGTTACCGCTGTTCTAGATGTTACCGCTGTTCTAGATGTTACCGCTGTTCTAGATGTTACCGCTGTTCTAGATGTTACCGCTGTTCTAGATGTTACCGCTGTTCTAGATGTTACCGCTGTTAGTTCTAGATGTTACCGCTGTTAGTTCTAGATGTTACCGCTGTTCTAGATGTTACCGCTGTTCTAGATGTTACCGCTGTTCTAGATGTTACCGCTGTTCTAGATGTTACCGCTGTTCTAGATGTTACCGCTGTTCTAGATGTTACCGCTGTTCTAGATGTTACCGCTGTTCTAGATGTTACCGCTGTTCTAGATGTTACCGCTGTTCTAGATGTTACCGCTGTTCTAGATGTTACCGCTGTTCTAGATGTTACCGCTGTTCTAGATGTTACCGCTGTTCTAGATGTTACCGCTGTTCTAGATGTTACCGCTGGTCTAGATGTTACCGCTGTTCTAGATGTTACCGCTGTTCTAGATGTTACCGCTGTTCTAGATGTTACCGCTGTTCTAGATGTTACCGCTGTTCTAGATGTTACCGCTGTTCTAGATGTTACCGCTGTTCTAGATGTTACCGCTGTTCTAGATGTTACCGCTGTTCTAGATGTTACCGCTGTTCTAGATGTTACCGCTGTTCTAGATGTTACCGCTGTTCTAGATGTTACCGCTGTTCTAGATGTTACCGCTGTTCTAGATGTTACCGCTGTTCTAGATGTTACCGCTGTTCTAGATGTTACCGCTGTTCTAGATGTTACCACTGTTCTAGATGTTACCACTGTTCTAGATGTTACCGCTGTTCTAGATGTTACCGCTGTTCTAGATGTTACCGCTGTTCTAGATGTTACCGCTGTTCTAGATGTTACCGCTGTTCTAGATGTTACCACTGTTCTAGATGTTACCGCTGTTCTAGATGTTACCACTGTTCTAGATGTTACCGCTGTTCTAGATGTTACCACTGTTCTAGATGTTACCACTGTTCTAGATGTTACCACTGTTCTAGATGTTACCACTGTTCTAGATGTTACCACTGTTCTAGATGTTACCACTGTTCTAGATGTTACCACTGTTCTAGATGTTACCGCTGTTCTAGATGTTACCACTGTTCTAGATGTTACCGCTGTTCTAGATGTTACCACTGTTCTAGATGTTACCGCTGTTCTAGATGTTACCACTGTTCTAGATGTTACCACTGTTCTAGATGTTACCACTGTTCTAGATGTTACCACTGTTCTAGATGTTACCGCTGTTCTAGATGTTACCACTGTTCTAGATGTTACCGCTGTTCTAGATGTTACCACTGTTCTAGATGTTACCACTGTTCTAGATGTTACCACTGTTCTAGATGTTACCACTGTTCTAGATGTTACCACTGTTCTAGATGTTACCACTGTTCTAGATGTTACCACTGTTCTAGATGTTACCACTGTTCTAGATGTTACCGCTGTTCTAGATGTTACCGCTGTTCTAGATGTTACCGCTGTTCTAGATGTTACCGCTGTTCTAGATGTTACCACTGTTCTAGATGTTACCGCTGTTCTAGATGTTACCACTGTTCTAGATGTTACCGCTGTTCTAGATGTTACCACTGTTCTAGATGTTACCACTGTTCTAGATGTTACCACTGTTCTAGATGTTACCACTGTTCTAGATGTTACCGCTGTTCTAGATGTTACCACTGTTCTAGATGTTACCACTGTTCTAGATGTTACCACTGTTCTAGATGTTACCGCTGTTCTAGATGTTACCACTGTTCTAGATGTTACCGCTGTTCTAGATGTTACCACTGTTCTAGATGTTACCGCTGTTCTAGATGTTACCACTGTTCTAGATGTTACCACTGTTCTAGATGTTACCACTGTTCTAGATGTTACCACTGTTCTAGATGTTACCGCTGTTCTAGATGTTACCACTGTTCTAGATGTTACCGCTGTTCTAGATGTTACCACTGTTCTAGATGTTACCACTGTTCTAGATGTTACCACTGTTCTAGATGTTACCGCTGTTCTAGATGTTACCACTGTTCTAGATGTTACCGCTGTTCTAGATGTTACCACTGTTCTAGATGTTACCACTGTTCTAGATGTTACCGCTGTTCTAGATGTTACCACTGTTCTAGATGTTACCACTGTTCTAGATGTTACCACTGTTCTAGATGTTACCACTGTTCTAGATGTTACCACTGTTCTAGATGTTACCGCTGTTCTAGATGTTACCACTGTTCTAGATGTTACCACTGTTCTAGATGTTACCACTGTTCTAGATGTTACCGCTGTTCTAGATGTTACCACTGTTCTAGATGTTACCGCTGTTCTAGATGTTACCACTGTTCTAGATGTCACCGCTGTTCTAGATGTTACCACTGTTCTAGATGTTACCACTGTTCTAGATGTTACCACTGTTCTAGATGTTACCACTGTTCTAGATGTTACCGCTGTTCTAGATGTTACCACTGTTCTAGATGTTACCGCTGTTCTAGATGTTACCACTGTTCTAGATGTTACCACTGTTCTAGATGTTACCACTGTTCTAGATATTACCACTGTTCTAGATGTTACCACTGTTCTAGATGTTACCACTGTTCTAGATGTTACCACTGTTCTAGATGTTACCGCTGTTCTAGATGTTACCGCTGTTCTAGATGTTACCGCTGTTCTAGATGTTACCGCTGTTCTAGATGTTACCACTGTTCTAGATGTTACCGCTGTTCTAGATGTTACCACTGTTCTAGATGTTACCGCTGTTCTAGATGTTACCACTGTTCTAGATGTTACCACTGTTCTAGATGTTACCACTGTTCTAGATGTTACCACTGTTCTAGATGTTACCGCTGTTCTAGATGTTACCACTGTTCTAGATGTTACCACTGTTCTAGATGTTACCACTGTTCTAGATGTTACCGCTGTTCTAGATGTTACCACTGTTCTAGATGTTACCGCTGTTCTAGATGTTACCACTGTTCTAGATGTTACCGCTGTTCTAGATGTTACCACTGTTCTAGATGTTACCACTGTTCTAGATGTTACCACTGTTCTAGATGTTACCACTGTTCTAGATGTTACCGCTGTTCTAGATGTTACCACTGTTCTAGATGTTACCGCTGTTCTAGATGTTACCACTGTTCTAGATGTTACCACTGTTCTAGATGTTACCACTGTTCTAGATGTTACCGCTGTTCTAGATGTTACCACTGTTCTAGATGTTACCGCTGTTCTAGATGTTACCACTGTTCTAGATGTTACCACTGTTCTAGATGTTACCGCTGTTCTAGATGTTACCACTGTTCTAGATGTTACCACTGTTCTAGATGTTACCACTGTTCTAGATGTTACCACTGTTCTAGATGTTACCACTGTTCTAGATGTTACCACTGTTCTAGATGTTACCACTGTTCTAGATGTTACCACTGTTCTAGATGTTACCACTGTTCTAGATGTTACCACTGTTCTAGATGTTACCACTGTTCTAGATGTTACCACTGTTCTAGATGTTACCACTGTTCTAGATGTTACCACTGTTCTAGATGTTACCGCTGTTCTAGATGTTACCACTGTTCTAGATGTTACCACTGTTCTAGATGTTACCACTGTTCTAGATGTTACCACTGTTCTAGATGTTACCACTGTTCTAGATGTTACCACTGTTCTAGATGTTACCACTGTTCTAGATGTTACCACTGTTCTAGATGTTACCACTGTTCTAGATGTTACCACTGTTCTAGATGTTACCGCTGTTCTAGATGTTACCACTGTTCTAGATGTTACCACTGTTCTAGATGTTACCACTGTTCTAGATGTTACCGCTGTTCTAGATGTTACCACTGTTCTAGATGTTACCGCTGTTCTAGATGTTACCACTGTTCTAGATGTTACCGCTGTTCTAGATGTTACCGCTGTTCTAGATGTTACCACTGTTCTAGATGTTACCACTGTTCTAGATGTTACCACTGTTCTAGATGTTACCGCTGTTCTAGATGTTACCGCTGTTCTAGATGTTACCACTGTTCTAGATGTTACCACTGTTCTAGATGTTACCGCTGTTCTAGATGTTACCGCTGTTCTAGATGTTACCGCTGTTCTAGATGTTACCACTGTTCTAGATGTTACCGCTGTTCTAGATGTTACCACTGTTCTAGATGTTACCACTGTTCTAGATGTTACCACTGTTCTAGATGTTACCACTGTTCTAGATGTTACCGCTGTTCTAGATGTTACCGCTGTTCTAGATGTTACCACTGTTCTAGATGTTACCGCTGTTCTAGATGTTACCACTGTTCTAGATGTTACCGCTGTTCTAGATGTTACCACTGTTCTAGATGTTACCACTGTTCTAGATGTTACCACTGTTCTAGATGTTACCACTGTTCTAGATGTTACCGCTGTTCTAGATGTTACCGCTGTTCTAGATGTTACCACTGTTCTAGATGCACCGGACACGTACACATAGAACTCGGAGCAATGCTGAGTTTCCGGTTTAAACTTACGTCTCTTTGGGCACATGGTCTGTGTAGAATCTGAGGTGGAGAGACGAAAAAGGCATGCACACACACACACACACACACACACACACACACACACGCACGCGCGCACACACACACACACACACACACGCACGCACGCACGCACACACACACACACACACATATGTACACATACACACAAACACACATCATAACTTAGCATGTGTATGTAGGTAACGCCAGTGTTACACGCCTCTTCTGCATCATGCTAAACACATACTGACACGTACTGACACGTACTGATATTATGTGCAAGACATGCCGGTGAAAAGATTCTTGTTCGACCCATAGTCGCTTCATGCACATACAAGACCAATTTGAAAACCGACTTTAGGAGCTGTCCTGTAGCATGTCAGCGAGTCTGAGGATGCAATATTCATTGATGCGTGCTCTTGTTCCATTGGGGAATATCATATACAAAACAATAGGATATGCCCAGAATCCCCCACTACCCAAATTGAAAACCATGCTGGTTGACATCTCTCTCTAGTACATGCGCGCTATGAACAGTTTCATTGATATGGTGTGCAGTGCATACGAATACTGTAAAGGTAAGTATACCCAAACAGGATGACTATTCGCAAACAGGATGACCACATTCACAAACAGGATGATTGCATTCACAGAAAGAATGACTGCATTGAGTGCATTCGGAAACAGGATAACTGCTTTCGCAAGCAGGATAACTGCATTCGCAAACATGATGACTGCATTCGAAACATGATGACTGCATTCACAAACAGAACGACTGCATTCACAGACAAGGATGACTGCATTACAACACAGGCAGCACCTGGATATGTTGAAGAATAGCTTCCCAACATATCGCCACTAGGATATACAGACAGGTGTCTAGCTCTGAGCTTACTTAATAAGCAGTAGTCAAATCTCATCTGGTCACCCATAACGCCCGCTAGATATGCATCGCTCAGGCCGCTTGGGTCTTGAGTTATAACTCCGCCGGGAGGCCAGATCACCGTGCCTCTCCACTTGCCCGCCACGGGGCTGGAGATCACTGAACCATTTGGCACGAGTGCCAGTAAGTCAGCAAGGCGCATGTCTGTCCACGTGGGACATGCCGCATTGTCATAGATGCAGATACCAGTCGACGGGACGTCGATGAATGCGATATGCGCGAACGTGGTGTTGGCACGAACGTAGCTGAAGTCGGACTGGCTCGTGGAGTTGAGGACACGTATGCCGACAAAGTGAGGCCCAACGACAACGGACCGGTTCCCAATAGTCATCTCACTATTCGGAACAGACTTCAGTAGGTCCGGGCTGGGTGCTAGGATTGAGCAAGACCGGAATAGGGTGCGAATGTCAGTCAATGCATACTGGCCAAAGTTGGTGCAACCTAACACACAGCAGATGACAAACGCACGCAACGCACGCATGTAAACCAGTTTTAAAACAAACACAAATAACCACTGTCAAAAACTGATCACGCACTTCCTCTCGTCATGGTTATCTGTTGCAGTTAAAAGTGTTAGTGTTTTTTCAGCGCATTCACAAGCCCAATTTGTGTATCCAAAAAGAGAGTACCGTATTTTCCGGGGTATAAGCCGCACCGGGGTATAAGCCGCACCCCCCTTTTTGAGGCAAAATATTGACTAAAAGTTGGTATTCGGAGTATAAGCCGCACCCACAAACCAAGATTTTTCACACTCATTGACAAATGGCCTTTCTACAAATTTATTATGGTTATGGAGCTAAATACCATGTTAGATCAGATTATGAAGTGTTAGTGCACCACAGGTTGCTGCAGAGATGTTGGTGTATTGCTGTGTTGACTACAGATCACTCTATGTCATCTGCACTATCTTCAGTCTCGCTGCCACTGATGTTGATCAAAGCTACCTCTGCAGCGATGCCGTCGCCGTCTTCATCGCTGCCGGAGTCTGAACCATTGTGGTCCTCAAAGATCATGTCATCTTCAGTGCCGTCCAGTGCATTTGAAATTGAGCACTTTTTGAATGATTTGGCGACCATTGTAGTTGGGATGGCCTTCCATGACTCATCCACCCATTTGCATACTTTGGAAATTGATGGTTTCTTCATACGGCCTGTTGGTGTAAACTCATGGTTTCCCCCAATGATCCAGTCCGTCCAGTGCTGCCTGATGTGGCACTTGAATGGCTTGTTGAGGCACACATCAAGTGGCTGAAGCTGGGATGTCAGACCACCAGGGATAACAGCAAGGTCGGTCCGTGTTTCACGAGTACGTCTTTTGAAGTTCTCTACTAGATGTGCACGAAACGAGTCAAAGACAAGGCAGCTTCGAACAGGGGTGCTCCCACGGCCACCTTGCCTTGCACACCAAACCTTATCCAGCCACATATGCATTCCAGCTTCATCCATCCAGCCTTTGGGATGAACGTGGACAATGACATCAGGCGGCACTGCATCCTTTGGCATAGTCTTTCGCTTGAAAATGACAAATCGCCGTAACTTTGTCCCATCGGCAAGGCATGCTAAAGCCACAGTAAAGTGCTCTCGTTCGTGCCCTGTCGTTTTGATGTGAATAGTCTTCGCTCCGATTTTGTCGATAGTGCGGGAAAAGTGCCGGGGTAGCAACACAGGCGCGAAGCTGAGTCGAATGACATGTCACATGATGTCAGCATGCATACTGATGTATGCTAAGCATTCATTCGCGCAAGCATATTCGGTGTATAAGCCGCAGGGGCGATTTTGGTCCGATTTTTAGCGAAAAAAAGTGCGGCTTATACCCCGGAAAATACGGTATTATTACTCTAAAATTGTGACATAAAACTAGTTCTAAGGACTCGCATTGTCGCCTTCTTTCAGGTAGCTGGCATGCAGACATCAAATGACTGGTTACAATAAGATCTAGCAGCCCAATGATCCAGCAACCCACTTCTTGGTCAAACGATGCCGTATCCCTTCTCAACCCACTTCTTGGTCAAACGATGCCGTATCCCTTCTCAACTTCACACGGGCTACTACTGTATAAGTACAAATTTTCGTTCACGAAATCTTTCGTTAAATCACTCCACCAGCCGGCGTGTTACGTACTAGATTTCGTTTTTGGTCGAGGTCTGCCACCCCAAACGTTCAGAAGAAAAACTTTAGTTATCTCGTGCCCCCTAACGAATATAGCGAAAGTTAATTCGAAACGAAAATCTGTACTTATACAGTACCAACATCAAACACAATGCTGTCTTCAAGTAGTACAGGCAATACAGTAGGGGTCTATGCTCACCGCTGAAGCACAGATCAAAGTCTCCATTTCCATAGCGATGGAACCCTAGTGAAGTATTCCTGGGTGAAAGTGATGTCCATTCGACAACGACTATGCCACGTGTGGAATTGTACGAGTGAAAGGTTCCCGTTGGGAGAGAGCGAGCAGTCAGCCCAGAATTGCAGATCTCCAGCCAGTCCGTCAACGGAGATTTGTATTTTGTTGGCATAACAACCGTTGACGGCCGGAGGGCCGCTTGCAGCTCCGCAGTTGTGAATGTGGCCAGCACATCCGAGCTAAAACCTGTAGCAGAGCACAACGCAGACTGGATGTACCAATGCTGAATGTACGGAAAGGTGTGTGTGTGTGTGTGTGTGTGTGTGTGTGTGTTGTGTGTGTGTGTGTGTGTGTGTGTGTGTGTGTGTGTACATGTGCATGCGTGTGACTGTGTGTGTGTGTGTGTGTGTGTGTGTGTGTGTGTGTGCGCGCGCGCGCGCGTGTGTGTGTGTGTGTGTGTGTGTGTATGTGTGCATAAGTCGAGAAAGGGAAGACATCCTACCTATAGCCACAACTTGGCAATGTCCAGGCACCTGGTCTAACTAGGGGTTCAAGCGGTGCCAGGACCCAGACTTTGTCAAAATTTCAAACCAAGACTCGTCCTACACTTTCCTAAATTGAAGCTAAAGATGAGGTCCGTTCGCCATTCTTGTAGTCGCTTCAAGGTGGCAAGTTAAGCCAGCATACCAACCCACCTTCTCGGATGATCTGCTTGAAGCTAGGACACACGAATCCGCATGGACATAAGCCAATGTTCCCTGAACAAAATGTTAATCCCAGGGCATGAACTTACTAGGAGTGTCTAGGTCATACTTGGAGCCGATTCCCATTCGGTGAACGGCCACAATACCATTATTCCAACGAACGCGCACCAGCTGAGCATTACTTGGCTGATCAACGAGATTGTAATCACTCAGACTCTCCAAACTGAGCACAGTACCAGTCAAGCCATTGGTGCTGGCACACCAGAACGATTCTGTCGTACGAAAGAACGTCTTCTGATTGACGATTTGTCTGGTGAACAACTGTTCGCGCTCACTGTCCGAAGCATAGGGCCAACATCCTGAAACAACACACAACACAATAACGGAAACGCTTCTGCCACTTTGAAGCACGAACATGGTGATGCAGGGTCCAGTAACCCCCCAGGTCTTACTGCACTAACAATTCGATTGAAACTCCTTGATCATATGTTGAGCATCTTGTAGCTCACTGACTGGTCATTTTCAGCACTCTGGCAAAGTATGCTCAAGCATGGCTTATATGCTGCTTTTCAGAAACATAATTATATTTTCAATGCTACCAGGTTTGGCCTCGTTTCCCCGTGCTGATGAGTCTGCAAAGGACAAAACATTTCTGCCGGCAGACTGAGTAGGTCGAGGATCTATACAATCATGTATATGCTTAAATCTCTGGACAGTTACTAGGTGATTTGACCTTGTTAGGTCCCATCCGCTGAGGTCTGAGTCACCGTCTGAACTGATCACAATGAAGTCCCGTGTACAGCAAGATGAGAACGTTGAATTCAAAGAAAAAAGATGACGAGAAGACGTAAGGAATATGTGCTTTTGGTCCTCACCAAGATAGCAACTACTACTAGCAGCAAGAGTATATTACCCCCCCCCCCCCCCGGCCCTCCCCAAGAGTGTGAAACTCTGCACATGGGGTCTCCGACGGCGAAAACTCACATCACGTGTCTCAAGTACGTTTTGTACTACGTACAACTAAGGATAGCGTACGCGCAATCCGAAAATCTGCTATGATTATGCTGGGGATCTGCATACGCGCAGTGAGTTTCTGCCAGGGAGTGCTTTTATTATTACTTCGCTGCTCGCTAAAACGGGCTGGAAACGTCAACTGCCACACTACACCACGTGATGTGGGTTTTCGCCGTCGGCATACCGCATAGAAAGGGTATCAGGAGTTTCACACTCTGGTATATTATACTCATTTGCTGGCAGGATAGAGTCAGACCTCACTGCAACATACACACAGGTGTGCAGGTGTGTGACCAGCACTACTCTCAACTCAGAGTACACACACTTCAGGTGTGCAGGTGTTTGACCAGCACTACTCTCAACTCAGAGTACACACACTTCCAACCGTATTGCTTGCATGCAGAAACTCACTGTCTGCGATCGGTACAACACCAGGAAGATCGACGAATGAGCTCTTTGCACACGCGGCCGCCAAGATGAGAATAGTCAACTGGAACACACAGAATGAGATGCACATGTTTATTAAGAGCAAACATGAATACTAGTACGCATGTGCACACACATACATACACACACACAATTGCGTACACACATACATACACACACGCGCGCGCACGGGTGTACACATATGTACACACACAAACACAATCATATACATACACGTAATACATACACTATGGCTGTGTTTACATGAGAATTTTCAACCCGGGTTGAAAGTCTGTATGGTAGAAAAAATGGTTGGGTGTTGACGACAGTAGACCCAGGTAAATTACTGGTATGTCACCAAAAGTCCTGTATGGTCAGGTGAATGCTTTCGCGCGAAATTTGCGTGTGCAGTGCTGTTCTAACCTAGTGCGAGGTACGCACAGAGGTATGGCCGTACGATTTCTCGATTTCAACCCTCCTCCCAAGGGGAGGGCTGAAATTTCAACCCGGGTCAAGCGCAATGCGTCATGTAAACGCGCCAGCCAATCTGTGTTCATGGCGGGTTGAAACTCGAACCGGGTTGAAACGCCTCATGTAAACACAGTAGGGGTGAAACGAGTATCTATTTCGACCAATCGATCACTCATTCATAATATTCGATCGAGTATCCGATTATTTCGAGTATTTTATCAAAATTCAAAAGCGCTAGATTTGTGAGTTCTCGACCAATTCGGAAGAATTTATCTGTGAACATAGAACAAAAGTCGCCAACGTCTTGTACAGAGTGTAAAGTAACGATTTTCACCAGTGCTTTCATTATCTCATAACAAACTAACGTTACTTGCCGTGGTGATCGCATCGTCCAAGTCATAAAATACTGACTCAAAGGCATGCATAACGCATGCATACCAGTCGATAAGGGGTGCAACAGAAGTTTTGGAAAAATAGAACGCCAATACTAAAAAAAACAAAACAAAAAAACAACAACAAAAACAAAACGATCGAGTGCAAAATTTCGAATACTCGCTCGTTTGAAATTTTCGAACGAATACTCGAATATTCGAACTAATCGTTTCACCCCTAAAACACAGCCTATGTATGCTATCAGACGATCACAGGGGTGGAGTACACTCCGCGAACGATGATACGAATGGTCAGACGGTTCAACGATATCCTCAAGGCAAAGCACCCACCTGCGGCTCTGGCAAGCGGCGGTACCATGATTCCAGGAGACATTCCCCCTTGACCTCATCTAGTCATGTGTTCCGACATCAACCGAGAAGCAATTCGCGAGGCAGCCCTGCATACCCAAAGCGCTTCAGGACCATCCAGTTGTTTAGCCTAGCGGATGCTGTCCCTTGGTGCAGACTATTTCCAGCCGACCTCTTGGTGCTTCCGATGACCTGTGCGATGCACTAGTCGCCTGCACTCGTTGGCATTGCCTCATCTTACATAGACCCTATGGTTTCGGAAGCCTTCTTGGACTACCGCCTCATCCCACTCGATAAACACCCCGGTGGGAGACTGATCGGCATTGGTGAGGTGGTTCGCCGCATCGTTGGTAGGGCTATTCTGAGATGTGTGTCGACATCTATAACTACATCACAACCGGCTGGGTGTCTGCCTAGTGCTGCAATGAGTGTAATGCAAGATCTGAGTCATGACTTTCCGAATTCGTACGGGAATCGTCAGTGAGTTGTTGTTGTCATGTGCTGACCTGTGAGGCCCACTGACAGGCATGGCCACTCAAGGCCAACTGGGAGGCATGGCCACTCAAGGCCCGGCAACTGGGAGGCCATGCCTTCTCCTCCCAGTGGTTCACTGTGCTTCTGGCGAATGCCGACCGCTACTAGTAGCTGCCGCCTCTGGAATGCCCTACACGAATGCATGAAGTCGATTGTATCTGTACGCGAGTTCAAACGCATGCTCCGTGTGTTTTACTACGGCGAAGTGTAATGGTTTCAGCAGCCTGCCGCCAACGAGGTGTGAGAGTAGCATGCTTCAATGATCTGGCACGTATTTCATTCAGAGCACTTTTTTCTCGTCTTACCCCTTGCTTCACTCATTGCGATTCCCTTTTTTTACTCTCTTCTTACCCTGAGTTGTCACCACTTTCATAATGTGGGGGCATAACTGCCCATTTGACATGCAATGTAAACAACAACAACAACAACAACAACAACAACAACAACAACAACAACAACAACAACAACAACAACAACAACAACAACAACAACAACAACAACAACAACAACAACAACAACAACAACAACAACAGTAGCAGCAGCAACAACCTGTCAGTCAGCCTTCATAACATGCAACATATTTGCCTCATACTAGCTGCAGCCGTAACCAACAGCTATAGTCTGTTTCAAAAAGATTTACAATCAGGTTTGGGTCTTAAAAAGTATGAAGATAAGGGAAATTTGGACAACAAAGTACATAGAATGGCTTGTTAGGACACGGCAAATTGTTCTGTGAAGGTTTCGGAAAAATTGGATCAGCCGTTGAGTTAGAATTTCGGCCAGGTTTCCGGCCTTTTCCCATGGTTTACAATTTGCCCAGGAAGCCAGTATCGATTTTTTATCAAAACCCACGATTTATCCTTTCCTTTTTGGCCTTGTGGTTATGAATGCTGTCTGCTGATCATGAAATTGTGAGTTCAAATCCCAACCTATCCTCAAGTCAAACTTTTTTTCTTCATTGTTTTGGTGGTCAAGCTGGTACGAGACAAAGAAGATGGCTGTACCAAACGACTTGTTGTTGGAGCTCGCGCTTCCTGCCGAACTGACTGACACTTGACTGGCCCACGCCATGTGAACACACCCACAACATGTAACACTGCAATGGTGTGAGTGAATATGGAAGACATCGCGCTGTAGCTTTTTGAGATTTATTCTAGTATTTCAAGATCGCCAATTTATTTGAATTTAGCAGTCAACGCCGTCTTCTATCAGCGTTCACAAGCGTCTGCTTTTCTCAATGTCGTCGAAGTCACACGGATAGCTTTGCCAAGTCATGGCCTTGGGAATGAGTCCGTGTCGATGTCGTTTTCGTCACAAGGTGAGTAAATTGCATCGCAGCTCAAAGAAACTATTTTGGTCACAAAACGAATTGGGACCCATGCCGCTCGTCAACATTTACAACACTTTCGTTTCGACATGTCCTCTCTGACTCCATTATCGATACGAGGAAGAACTCGTTTGTTGTAAACCAGACGACAGACGTACATGACTGTATCAACGTGAGTGAGTTGTCATTTTTCCTGCTTTCGCGCGGAATATTTCTTCGAGTTCACAGTGAGTTTTTCCAGGCAGCGCTCGAGTGCTCATACGGTAAGACGCCAAACTCCGCGGGCGATCGCCAGGATTACAAATCTTTTTGAAACGGACTGTAGTGCAGCCCAACCCGGCTATTTGTTGATCGCCAGTGTCTGCTTTCATGTGAAGGTAACACTCCAGGCGATCCCTTGGCATATAGTCATGCTGGCCTTGGGTACTGTTGGGTACTGTTCCTCTATGCCAGGAGTTCTACAGGAGCAAAACAACACACAGTCTTGGTATGTGGATGACTCTACGGCTGCCGCTACCATTCGGGAGCTACGCCATTGGTGATCACTACTGGAGCAGCAAGGCCCTTTTAAATGGCTACTTTCTCAATTCAGCTAAGTCTATCCGGCTTGTCAAGACTGAATTTCTCCAAGTTGCAGAAACGCTGTCTGCCATACTGATCCTTGAAGGGTGGTGGCGTTCCTACAGATGCCGAAAACTTGCCTTCTAGCTGTGTCTAACGCGACCATGAACATTTTTGCGTGGGGAGAATGTTGCGAAACCACAAGCTCTCGAGAGTGAAAGGCCTTCTCGCTTGTGACATTGTGTTCGTTTCAATGCAGTTGTATCCCGACTCCGCCGTACCACTGATGATTACGACGTAGCATACGCTACATGCGCTATGTGTGGTTTGCTGTGTGCGCTGTAGTTGTATGTTGTATGTGTATGCTTTTCTCATATACGCTGTCATTTTCACGCTATAACTACCTGGTGGTTTTAGTGTTAGTTATTCATTCATTATTGTTAGTCGATCGAAGTCAATATACTGTTGAGAATAAATAGTTGTCCTCGTGCCGTGTGGTCGTTCGTTCCTGACACTTTAGAGAACCTGAGGGTTCACAACATTTGGCGACCACGCCAGGATACGAAGCGAGCATGGCATAGGAACTATGGATCATTGAAGCCCGCTTTATCGCCAATGGAATTCTGTTAGGATTGGAAGGCGATGAGTTGAGGGACTATGTGAAGAAGAGGCTCCGACAGTGCGAGGAGTTTGAAGAGCGCAGTGCTAGACGGCAAGAGGGTGCGCTCCGCAGAGAGTTTAACGAAAAGCTCAAGAAGATGAACGAGCGCATCGCCAGCAGTACATATGAGGAAGCAAAGCTAGATTTGCTTGCCTCGCTCGGAAGGACGCCGGACAAGGCGTGGAACACTTTGCTTACGGACAAGCAGCGGTCAGAAGAGTATTTGAAGCCAGTGGGAGGATCAAATCCAAGGCCCACTGCGTCGGTGCAGTGCATGGCGACATCGGTCGGAGACGCTCAGAAGCAGCTGGAGTCTCGGCCGAAGGACGTAGAAGAGCAAGACGTAGAAGAGCAAGACGTAGAGGCGCAAGACGTAGAGGCGCAAGACGTAGAGGCGCAAGACGTAGAAGCGCAAGACGTAGAGGCGCAAGACGTAGAAGCGCAAGACGTAGAAGATAAGGAAATGAGAAGGGCGATACTGGTTAGCACGGAAGAGGTCAACGGCGAGACTGTGTGGAACACAGAGATCGGATGTGTGTCCTCGGGTTCCGCGCCCGCCCCGGGTCGAAGCAGTGTACCGGTGACCGTGTCGTGTGTGACAGCCCACATCGGCGAGCTTGGTGAAATTATCGGTTGTGTGTTGTCTGGTCCAGCGTCCGCCCCATGTCGAAGTGGATCGGTGACAGTGTCGTGTGCGACAGCCCGCAGCGGCAAGCTTAGCAAAATCGAGTTGGCCGAAGTGGTGAGCAGTAGTGATATTCCACCTTGGCCACCGCCACCGCAGGGGATGACTCGTTCTGGGCGTGTAGTCAGAGCCCCGGTCGTTTTTGACTTGTGAGTTGTTGTACGGCGGTGAGAAGCCCTTTGGTGGGGAGAATGTTGCGAAACCACAAGCTCTCGAGTGTGAAAGGCCTTTTCGCTTGTGACATTGTGTTCGTTCCAATGCAGTTGTATCCCGACTCCGCCGTACCGCTGATGTTAACGACGTGGCATACGCTACATGCGCTATGTGCGGTTTTGCTGTGTGCGCTGTTGTTGTATGTGGTATGTGTATACTTTTCTCATATACGCTGTCATTTTCACGCTATAACTACCTGGTGGTTTTAGTGTTAGTTATTCATTATTCCTGAATTGAGTAACTGAGTTTTATGTTTCGTTACATTGTCGACAGATCTCCTGTGTACCGGTTTTGTGGCACAATGATTATAGCCATTTGTCGTCTCCATTCTTGTGCAATCATGCATATGTAGGTTGGTTCTCTTCATGTCCATGTTATTGTGACCTATTTCATAGATGTTGGTTGCCTTGTTGTTTTCTTTCCCCTCTCCTCTCACCCAAGCCATTCTGCATAAGCGAAGCTGTGGACGCAGCATACTGCTGCTACACTTCAATGCGGAAATGCGTATAATAATAATAATATTCATTATTCATTATTGTTAGGCGATCGAAGTCACTGTGGAGAATAAATAGTTGTCCTCGTGCCGTGTGGTCGTTCGTTCCTGACACTTTAGAGAACCAGAGGGTTCACAACAGCTAGTGACTGTCCTTGTCCGTGCCTTCTCTTCGCTTCCTTACACCTCTATACTTCTTCAACAAGGGGCCGTCCGGGGTTACCGTTTGTTTTACAAAGCGAAAAGTTTTAGTATTTTTCAGCCCCCACCCACCCACCCACCTTTTCTGCAGGTAAAACGAATTCCAATAAAACATTGATGTCAATTTTCGACACCCAGAAGTAATTGGGCATTCTCCATCTGCATTCAATAATTATTTTCAAAACGAAACTCCATCAAACCCACCCACCCACCCCCAAACGAAAACTTTTCGTTTTGAAAATATTATTGGTAACCTTGGACTAAGGTGGACTGGCATTTGCTGAGTTTGAAAGTAACTTCATCATTTCCAAGGCTCATGTGTGTTATGGGTCGTTATACGTCATAATAACTATGGGGCTAGCATAATTATGTAGACACACTACATGTGCCTGTTTGTGCTGCGACTTAAAATAAAATCCAGCAACAACAACAGCGGCATGCTACAGGAATCCTGGATCATGGGGTGTTCTATAAATTTGAGGACATCTCCAGGACTGTAGCAAAGACGTGGCGGCGCACAGCAGCAGCAGCAGCAACATGCTCTGCAGATCACAGCCATGGGCCGCATAGATCTATCGGCGAAGAACGGTCAGTCGAGTCATTATGACAAGTGAACCTCCCCGTCCCCTATGTGCCTCCCAACGAATCCACGCTGCGCTACTTTTCACTACTTTTATTTTAGCTCATACAAAGATATTATTATTTATCACTCTCTTATTATTGACCCCCACAGAAACTTGTGATCTCTAAGCGGTCAAATATCAGCATAAGTATATTGACCGCTTATTATTGACCACTTAGCCCGAGGACTTAGAACTTTTTCCTCAACTTAGAAAAAAATCAGAACTGAAAGAAGAAAAATCTGAAGCCAAATGCTTGGATTCGAACCCAAACTGTCAGATTCTCAGTCAAAGACTTGGGGAACATACTACAAGAGACAACTGAAAACTTTGGTTTACACAGAAGTAATGTCCAATGTAAACGGCATATGTACATACTATTATACTATTACAATAGTATTCCTTTCTTCCTATAGCAAAGCAAAAACAGTTTTAGGTATGCTATGTCGTGATAAATCTATTATTGCCCTCATAATCGGTCAATATATGAAATATAGACCTCGTAAAAGACCTCGGGGGACCTCGGTCTTTTACTCGTTCTATATTTCATATATTGACCTCTTTAATCGTGCAATAATAGATACTTAAAAAGGGGGAAAAAATGTTCATGGTCGCGTTAGACACAGCTAGAAGGCAAGTTTTCGGCATCTGTAGGAACACCACCACCCTTCAAGGATCAGTATGGCCTAAAATCAATTTTTCACCAATAATTATTGTAGTCTTGCTTGAACTTTTGAAGGTGTTTCAGTTCGTGTATTTTTCGATTTTTGATCTTGGTCATTATCTAAGGGCGCGTTCGAATTGTCACTCTTTGACTTTTCGAGGAGTTTCGTTTTTCTGAAGAGGTGGCCTTATTGGCCTCTTCAGAAATTCAAAGCTCCTCGAAACTCCACAACCTCATCCGATGGGAGTGGTGGATTAGTTTCGAAGGGTTTGGAATAGCTACGTCACGTCGCACGTGGAGATGGTCGATCTGATCGGACGTCATCATCGCCATGACAATTCCACTGAAAACTTGACTCTAAAAATGATAGAAACCGTTCTAATGGGACACCTCAACTAATCTCTTTATAAAATTTGTTTGAACGATGAAGACAATTCGAACGCGCCCTAAAGACGGGAGGGTTTCTGGATCAAGCTGTCATAGTGAGTGCATTCGACTATGCATTTGAATCGATTCATGAATTCACATCACCCCATGTGAATGGAGTCATGAATCGATTCAAGTGCATAATCGAACGCAGCCACTGGGTGAATGAGGTCCACCTAGGGATAAAAGCCTGGAGGAGCCAACTAATAATTACTTTGAGCGAAATCGTGCGTGCACTTGACTGCACCGGATTACTCGCAGGTAGGCGCTACAGCCAGCACAGTAAAAGGTGCACGCGCACGCAGCACTAGGGGATCGCGTTCGCCATAAGGGTCAAGTAAAACGCTGTATGGCAGGTTCCTCGGACCAAGGCCATTCGATTCAGCGTACTGAATACTACATATCCTGAGAGTTTTACCTTCGTCCGTCCTTCTAATAAAGAACGAAGTGATGCTTTCAGTGAAATTTTTTACACAAATCCCTATTTTTAGTAGGGCGCACGCATCCAATGTTGGAAGCAGGGAGTAGTAAAATACTACTCCCTGGTTGGAAGTGTGCAAGTTTGATTGGGAATCCGAATAGGACGAAGGGAGCATTTCGGGTGAACTCCATTTTGACTCAGTGCTCAGAACCCTACAAGCAGCGAAATTTTAGGCCACGCTTCGCCTTTCGGAGAAGACGAAAAAGAAAAGAAAGGAACGCTCAACATCGACTTACCGCTTGAAGACATAGAGCGGAACCGTAGTCCCCACTCGGGTGTTGTTTCGGACGACCTCGATGCATTCCTAGATCATCCAGCTGAGACAAACTTTCGATTAGGGCTTATAAGTAATAGTTATAGGAGATTCTTCAAAACCTTGACACAGTGACAGTGACTCAAAACCAAACGTGCTTGGCGGTTGAAACTACTGAAACTGGAGATCTACAGGAAGAAAGAGTTCATCCTGGAGAGCCACAAGCCTGAGCTGTGGGGCCGGGGAATCCTTAAATTAAAATTACAAAATTACAATAATTACATTATGTTGTAGCATCAAGAGTACATAAGGTTATGTACTCTTGGTAGCATCTTGGTAGCATGCTAGCAGCAGTCTGCTTGGCCACGTGGCTACGCATGGTATCAAAATAATAACCCATACATGAACCCATTTTGGTCATGTACGCTTGGTCTATCCGAGGTGCCGCATGGCCCATGCGGCATGCCCATGCATGGTACGGTAGGGACTAGGGTAGGGGGTATAGGGGCCGTTTTCAGCATAATTATGGTAGATCTACCATGGTACGACTATTTATAGCTGTGTTTAGCGCTGCTGCCACGTGCTACGTGTAGGCTTTTGACTTTTGTAGCATTTTTCTTTTCTTGAATCTTGTTCTTTCCGCACACACCACGCAGACACCCTTCAATCCGTTGCAAAGTACGGAAACTCGACGTCCACTGCACATGCATGGTGATTTTAGAGAGGTTCTGCACAACGAAAATTCGAACGAAGTTTCGCGACAGGCCTTGCGAAAATGTGTACGAATTTTCGCACGAACTTTGTGTTCTGCACATTTTCGTAGTTTGCACGCGCCAAGTGCACGTACGACATGACCCAATCTCACGAAACTTCCTACGAAAGTAAGTTAGTTTAGAAAAGCGATCCTGTCAGCTTTTCTATTATTGTGTTCACATGGCAAGAAAAACGACACCGCTATGCTACGTAAGTTTCTACGTAAGGTGCTCGGTATTTCACTTAGGCTACGTAAGTCTCTACGTAAGGTGCTCGGTATGGATCTACCAACGGTTGGTAGCCGCGTGCTGTGCACGTGCACGGCAGACATTGTGTTGCAGTGCAGTCCGTGTTCGGATGTGCATGCGCGAGGAACTTCCTCCTTTGGAACTGCTTCTTGTATGAGCTGTTTCGGATATTTCGTCTCCTGGCCTGGCTTATTTCGTTTCGGCGCTGCTGAGACCTCCTTTCGCGGAATATTATATAACTCAATGACAGGTGAGTTGACCAGTTCCCTTTGATTCTTTTGCTTGTGTTGACTCTTTCATTTACGAAAAGTGTGCTCATTTTGGGCGGAATGCAATAAATAATGGAATGGTTTATACTCGCTTAGCTTTCTTGGTTCCGATCGTTGGAACGCGCTTCCTGCTGATATTCGCACAATCTCCTTGCTCAGAAACTTCCGTTCATCTATTCAACAATTCATAGGGTACCCTGTAAAAAGGCCCAAGGCCTGTGGGACTGCCCTATTCAAAATTTAATAATAATAATAATAATAATAAAAGCTGGCAGGATCTCTTTTCTAAATTTAGCTTTTCCGCTGCCGAGGCCTCCTTTTACGGAATACTCGATGACAGGTGATCTCTGAGTTGACCGGTTTCCTTCGATTCATTTGCTTATGCCCACCCTTTCATTTACGGAAACGTGTGCTGATTTTATTCGGATTTAGATCCATTTTTACCTCTTTGCCCTTGTCTACAGTGTGCGAAGAACGCGAGTTCACCTTCTTGACGGTAAGGCTTATGTTAGATGTGTTGTCGAAATACTCATATTCATTGTACATTGGTACGTTACAAGTAAGGCACTGGTCAGTGGCATACTATCGTTGGCAGTTCCCAATCTGGAGGGAAAGGTTCAAGGACCCATTGACCAATTTTGCAAAATAAATTCGCATATCAGGGAAAATCTCCATTGTGGAGAGGTTCAGTAAACTTGTTTGCTTCATACGAAACAAGTCAAAGGGTGCAGTCTCGTCTCGTGAAGATGTCGTACTTGTATGATTAGATTTGCTTACCCGAGTCTGGGCTGTTTGATTTATTATTTGTGAGTTCCGCCGAGATTGCACTGCCCCAAATGAAGTTTCGTGCCGCCAAGGCAAGAATTACGATCTGCAATCTGTTTGTAGTACCTGCAAGAATGTGCTGTACATGTATCGTACTTTCTCTCTTGCTGTTTCAGTTGCCGTCATGTTGCTAAAGAAACGTTCAGTAGAGAGGTTCTGCAAAACGAAAATTCGAACGAAGTTTCGCGACAGTCCTTGCGAAAGTGTGTACGAATTTTTGCACGAACTTTGCGTTCTGCACGTTTTCGTAGTTTGCGCGGGCCAAGTGCACGTACGCCATGACCCGATCTCACGAAAGTGTGTACGACTGTTCATTTCGCGTTCCCTGCAAGTTTCGCGTCCAAAGTTGCGAAAGTTCGTGCGAAGTTTCGCACTTCAGGACGTGGAAGGACTGTTTGTACGCATTTTCGTTTTGCAGAACCTCTCTAGTGACTCATTTGTTTCATACGAGACGAGTCAATGAGTTGGTGTGGCTTAGAATCTTTCGCTGTAGAAGAAATCTATTCGTATGTCTATTGGAGAAATAATTGTATTCACTGGTTATAAAATAGGTTAAGACAAACTCACAGAATAAATACCATCGGTCCCTTGGTGTTCGTCCTTAAGAGGTTCGACTGGATATCATTCATACTCACCAAAAAATGTGTACGATTCTATTATTATGGAGTGCCTTGTTTATCTCTCAGTACCTCCAACCATAGCCTTGCCCCTTTTATCCTCAGTTTCAGTGTAGTTGTTGGAACGAGGTGTCGGACTCAGCAATGTATTTGTTTACATTTTAATACATATTTATTGTTCCTCCTTTGCTGTGTTGTTTTAGAAAATCGTGGACTAACAGTTTGAAGTCATTGAACTACTTCCAAAAGTTGTATCGACATCAACAGGGTTACGATTTCAGTGCAATATGATGCAGGATGACCTTATCACGATAACCCATGATTATAAACCATTATAAACACAGAATCAACAAAAACATCTGCAACACGCACCTGGTTACATTTCTCAAATAAATCTGTTCAAGGGTGGGGAAATCTGAAATATCTGAAAGGCAAGACAATTTTATGACAGTCATGAAATTCTGCTACTGCAACATGCACAGAATGACCTCCGTCTAAAAAAAGTATCACCACGGTCCACCACTACTCACATGTATCCCCGCAGAAGAACATGCTAGTCCCATTTTCTGCAAGAAAAGGCTTGCACATCAATGCGCATAATACGGTATTGATATGATGTGAAGGCCATCATTTACATATTGATATAGGGCATTCCATTGATTGGTGACAGAAAAAACAAAAGAAATTATAGCAATAAAAACTGCTTTATGGCAGTTTTCTAAAAAACGTTATTGTGTTCTAGTCCATGGACCCCGTCTAAAAAGTAAGAAATTAACGAAATGTGATAGCTGAAAATTAAAATTTCACACAAAACCTCACAATAATCACACACAGAATGAAAAGCTACATGTACATGTACATGTAGAAGACCTTTTCCCCTCGTGATCCTCTTTCCTATGCATGCATGTTGCCAATTGTTGGTGCAGTACAAGTAAGTTTAGTGTTGAAAGCAGCATTTCAAGTGTTGTGATTATTGTGAGGTTTTGTGTGAAATTTTAATTTTCAGCTATCACATTTCGTTAATTTCTTACTTTTTAGACGGGGTCCATGGACTAGAACACAATAACGTTTTTTAGAAAACTGCCATAAAGCAGTTTTTATTGCTATAATTCATTTCGCGTTCCAAGTAAGTTTCGCGTCCAAAGTTGCGAAAGTTCGTGCGAAGTTTCTCACTTCGTGACGTAGAGCGAAAGTTCGTACACATAAACGGCAAATTCTGGTGCTGTTCTCGTCTGAGATTGTGGAATTGAGCGGAAGCGTTCACACAAATAATTATAGTACCAGTGAACAGTCGGCACTACTGGGTATTGCGTCACCGTCCGCCGACTCTATGTCTTCTCAGCAGCCATTTTCCACGATCAAGATGTTGGAAATGGGCCGAAATGAGCCGGCTATATTGGGTCATGTGTGAAAATAGGTTGCTCCATGTTAGGACAAACCTGAAATGGGCGCCGCTATTTTAGGGCAAGGGTGAAATCATGTGGGGCGCGCTGAACTAGGAGTGCTGAAATGACGGTCGGCTGATATTGGTGGCGCTGATTTGGGTGACAATCCGTGGCCTATACCGGTATATGGGAGCGCTGTTTGAAGTTTTATTTTATAACTGCGCAAACCACACGGCCGCGGCCCTACGGGCATTAATGAATTGATGGCATGATGCCCAATATCCATACATCCTGTACACACACCTTGTACACACTCTCTCTAACGGTCTCTAGGCTACACTGCAATTGATATACATTAGCTCAAATTTTCGGGCAAGGCCCATCATCAGGAATAAGTCTACTGTAGACAAAACAGGGGTTTATATTATATATATGTGACAAGTACTAGTGGCCAAAGGTGTGATGGTATAGCGTAAAATGTTGCAATACCACAGGAAGCGAGAATATTCTGTGTGATATGTATGAAGTGAAAATATAGTGCAGTGATAGTGCAAGATTACTAGTGTGAGTGCAAAGCAGAAAAATACACACTTCTAGCAACACTCACGCACATACATACACACACACACACACACACACACACACACACACACACACACACACACACACACAGTGCACACATTCTTGCACAAATTATGACAGATATATTTACACGTCACCCAACAGTCGCCAACCATTGTCACTGTTCACTGCAGGCTTCCTCTTCCTCTTCCTCTTCCTCACTCGTGCACTGAAGCCACACAACTCGCGAATGTCCACCTTCTATGGACTCCCCAAAGACCACAAGCCTGGCCTCCCACTCCGCCCCGTGGTATCGACATGCGGTAGCCCGACCAGCAGTATTTCACTTCTGCTTGAGCGCATTCTTACACAGTTGCTTCCATTCGTGCCTGCACATTTATCGAGTACTGAAGATTGCATGACGGCGATGTAATGCGCAACCTCGAAAACCTCCCAGAGGAATGTATTGTAGCGTCTCTGGACGTTGTGTCATTGTACTCGAATATTCCTATTCAAGAAAGCATCGATGCGGCCATGGAGTTATTAGAAGAGCATGAGGAATCGGTTGATATGTTCGCGCTGTC